CTTGAGCCCAGGAGTTGGAGGTTGCTGTGAGCTGTAATGCCAGGGCACTCTACCCAGGGGGACAGCTTGAGGCTCTGTCTCAAAAAAAAAAAACAAACAAAAAAAACCCCCACCAAAATACATACTTAAAATAGTTAATTTTCTATTATGTATATTTTACCACAATAAAAAACCAAGAAAGCCAGGTGAGCAATGAAGCTAGTAAGGTTACATTTAAACATAAATGGATGGCACTTGGGAGGGGGGATTCAGCATTAACGTGCAGTAAAATAAAGTGGTTAAGAAAAGATTTAAGGCCAGGTGTTGTGACTAACACCTGTAAATCCCAGCACTTTGGGAGATTGTTTGAGCTCAGAAATTCAGGACCAGCGAAGACCCTGTCTCTAATAAAAATAGAAAAATTAGCTAGGCATGGTGGTGGGCACCTCTATTCCCAGCTACTCCAGAGGCTGAGGCAGGAGGATCACTGGAGCCCAGGGATTTGAGGTTGCAGTGAGCTGTGATGACACCATTGCACTCTAGCCTGGACCACAGAGCGAGATAGAATGAAACGAGTGGATTGCTTGAGCTCAGGGCTTCAAGACTCGCCTCAGCAAGAGCAAGACCCTATCTCTAAAAATAGAAAAACTAGACAGGCATTGTGGCAGGTGACTGTAGTCCCAGCTACGTGAAAGGCTGTGGTAAGAGGATCACTGGTGCCCTGAGTTTGATGTTGCTATGAGTTATGACAATGTGACGGCACTCTACCCAGGGTGAAAAGTGTGACGGCACTCTACCCAGGGTGAAAAGTGAGACTTTGTCTCAAAAGAAAAGATAAGAAAAGAAAGAATTTAAAAACATTAGGCAAGCTATAGGAAACAAAGAAGTCTGGAAATTAAATTGTAAATCATTTGGGTAACACAAAATTTAAAACAGGGGCCAAAAACTACACAGCACAAAACACTGGTAGCAGAACATGTAGATGGCAATATCCAGGAAGAATTTAGAGAGGGTGCCCAGAGCACGGACAAGAAAGTCTGCATTAAAGATAGGAATGTGATTCTGCAGAGGAAAGAGGTTGCAGGTGAAAGTGAAATCACCCAGAGGGAGGGGCATTAGAAAGAGAAGGAAAAGGCCAGCCTTTGCCTTCAGAGAATGGAAAACCACAAGAATGTGGTGTCCAGAGAGGGTCAGTCCATGGAACTAGAGGCTGTGCCATGAGTCTGCCGAGACTCCTAGAAAGAAAGACAGGATCCAAATTGTAGGATAGGCTTGGCGCCTATAGCTCAACCGGCTAAGGCGCCAGCCACGTACACCTAAGGTGGTGGGTTCGAATCCCCAGCCCGGACCGCAAAACAACAATGATGGCTGCAACCAAAAAATAGCCGGGCGTTGTGGCGGGCGCCTGTGG